CCACACACCATCAAACCCCCCCCACACACACCATCACCCCCCACACCCCCACACACCCCCACACACACCATCAAACCCCCCCCCACACCATCACACCACCCCCACACACCATCAAACCCCCCACACACACCCACCCCCACCCACCCCCACACACACACAGACACCCCCACCCCCCCCCCCACACACACACACACACAGACACACACCCCCCACACACACACCCCCACTCCCCCCCCCCCCACACACACACACCCCCACCCCCACACACACACACACCCCACACATACAGACACACAGATGCCCCCCCCCCCCCAACCCCCCCCCCACACACACAGACACCCCCACCCTCCACACCCACCCCAACCCCCCCCCACCCCACCCCACCCCCACACACACACAGACATCCCCCACCCCCCCCCACACACACACACACCCACCCCCCCCACACACACACACCCCCCACACATACAGACACACAGATGCCCCCCCACCCTCCACACCCACCCCACCCCCCCCCACCCCCACACACACAGAGACACCCCCCACCCCCACCCCCACACACACACAGACAGACACACACACACATAGACAGACACACAGAGACAGACACAGAGACACACACACACAGACCGATACAGAGACAGATACACACACAGAGACCGACACAGAGACAGATACACACACAGAGACAGACACAGAGACACACACACACAGACACACACACACAGACACACACAGAAACAGACACAGAGACACACACACACAGAGACACACACAGAGAGACACACAGAGAGACACAGAGAGAGAGAGACAGACGCTGAGAGCCACACACACACACACACACAGACAGACACAGACACACACACACAGACACACACACGCAGACAGACAGAGAGAGAGACACACACGCACAGAGACACACACATAAACACACGCAGAGACACACACACAGAGACACAAGGCACAGAGAGACACACAACACACACACATATATACATACATACAGGCACACACACATATAAATAGAGAGAGACGCGCACACACATACACACAGGCAGAGAGATACACACACAGGCAGAGACACACACACACACAGATACACAGGCAGAGACACACATACACACAGGCGGAGAGACACACACACACAGGCGGAGAGACACACACACACAGGCAGAGACACACACACACAGGCAGAGACACACACACACACAGGCGGAGGACACACACACACAGGCGGAGAGACACACACACACACAGATACACAGGCAGAGAGACACATACACACAGGCGGAGAGACACACACACACAGGCAGAGACACACACACACACAGATACACAGGCAGAGAGAGACACACACACAGGCGGAGAGACACACACACACACACACACACACAGGCAGAGACTGACACACACGGCAGAGACACACACACACACACACAGGCAGAGACTGACACACACGGCAGAGATGCCGGTGGAGAGAGCTGAGGAATCGCCCACATAACAGATAAAGAGAGACTTTTAAAATCATTTAACCCTGAGCTGTCCACGGTCGGTGTTGTGGTTCCCCGCGGCGGGGGGGGCGTGTGCTGCCGGACAGTGGGAGCGAGCGGCCTCCTCCTTATTCCTGTTATTGTGCTTAGTGCTTTGGAAACCTCACAGAGGTTTACAAAAGGTACCGCAGAAAGGCCTTCGGTGTAGTACCTATGCAAATAGAACAGGTTCCACCCGGGACCGTTTGCGGGGGACGCCGCTGCGCGCAGTCGGCTGCCGCGTTCGGCCGCGCACAACGTACAGGCAATTCGCTTTACAGTGTATCCCGCGAAGCGCTCGGAGACGTCTCGGAAGAGGTGATCCGGCGCCGTATATATGCAGTGTACAGTTTGGGACCCGCCATGTCGAGTGACTGCCAGGGTGTTGGCCGAGGAACGAGATCGATCTTGGTCCCCTTTCACCCAGCAGGTTCTTATGTTCCGATGTTCTTATAAGCGAACGATGGAAGGCAAATTGGTCACAGTAAGAGCTCGGAGTGCTTAATGACTTCGAGTGTGTTGAAACTTCAGATTGAGAGGGGAGGGATTGGATGTGCTGTGCAAGGCAGATAGCGCGTACTTCACAGCAAGACGTGCTCCGTGAATATAAGTCCTTGAAGCTTTGATGGCTTGCCAAGTTCTGTTAAAGAAGTCTGCATTCTTCGCTATTTTTTTAAGCATTACTAAGGTATGCGCGGATATGCTACTAAAATAAGATATACAGTGGTCCTGTTTATAGACGGTTGCTCTATTTTTGGGGTCGCCGCTAACCACTACGGTACATTAAACGTGGATTTACTGAAACAGCATTGTTTCGAAACTGGACTTTCTGTGGACGGTTAAAGGATTCTGTGTAGTAGCGACTGTATGTCTGGGTCACTGTGTGGAACTGTGTGTCATTTTCAGCGATATGGTCCAGGCCAATATTGCTCTTGTCTGCCCCCGTGGTACGTCACTGTTTTGGGCTGAGGTACTCATTCGCACTGACCGTAATATTCTCCCACACAGGATCGAAGTCCTTGCACACACGCTCGTTGCGATGGGTGGTCAACAAGAAGAACATTCAGCTGTCAAGCTCTTCCGAGAATACCTGAGGCTCAGGACGGTCCACCCTCAGCCAGACTATGGTACGTTTGGGGGAGAGAGAGTGTCATCGGGTGACGGAGTCATTTGTACACCTTGACTGAATCTCGCAGGTTTTGATTGGCACCCGCAAGTGTTTTCGTGTCCAAGTATTGAAACCTGCATCTGATCTAATTTGCGTGTGTACGTGATAATAATCATAACCCTGGCATTTGATACAGGGCCTCGTCACGTCTTCAAGACGTCTCAAAGCGCTTGGCAGAATATACGGTAAAGCCAATATAGTTTGCGGGGGAAACGCAGCACAGCAGCGTCCCACAAACAGTCGTGGAATGAGTGACCAGATTCTTTTTTTGAGGGGTTATTAACTTCGCCAATCAACTAACAACCAGGTTCCTTACTTACTGCTGGGTAAACGGAGGCGTGTGGAGGGAGGAAACTTGGCCAAAGGGTAGATACTATTGAAGATACGGTATGGGTTTAGACGCAGAGTAAAAGCTCCCTTTGCTTGAGAAGAGATGAAAAGAATATATATTTTCTCTCCGAAAAAAATACTTTCCCCATAGGAAAATAATTGCTGTTTTGGAGTGGAATACTGTTTCTGCGCTTTCAGACATTCAGATGAAATTAGATTATTCAGTAATATTTGATTTACCCGAGACTTTGTGGCGCGAGAGGTAGTTTGTTGTATCGTGAAAATAAATGAACTGCATATGATGTCATTCCAAATCCTGCTCTCAAAGAGATGCATTAATGAAGAATTGGCTTAGATATTTGTCGGGTCAGGATATCAAGGCACATGGGGCAAGGGCGGGTAATTGGAGTTGAGGTACAGATCGGCCATGAACTTATAGGATGGCGGAACAGGCTCGAAGGGCTGAATGGCCTCCTCCTGTTCCTATGTTTCCTATGTTCCTGGTGCAACACCACTGCTAATGATTTGCCCGTTGGGTCAATGAGGAAACCAAAGCTAATTATTTTAATAAAGCAGTTGGATGTCAAGTGTTCTGAGAGGATCACAAGCTGTTCAGAATTGTGAGCAAGTCCCTAACCCTTTGAGATTGGGATGTACGAGAACCATGACGTGATATTTATGTGCACTCACACACTCACATTAGCAAATTCCAATTCTCTGGGCAAATGCCAATCAATGCAAACACTTAAGCCATCACGTTAGAATCTGCATTCTTTTTTAGAAAGATAAACTGACTTGGTGTACGATGATAAACAGTAGAGGAGGACAGGTGGGGGCTGAGGGTGTGGGGGGGAGAGAGGGGGAGAGAGAGAGTGGTAACACTTACACCGGGTCCAAAAATACGGCTGTTTGTGGGACGCTGCTGTGCGCAATCGGCTGCCGCGTTTCGCTCACAAAATACACAGTCAATTCACTTTACAGTATATTCCGTGAAGCGCTCTGAGACGTCTCAAAGACGTGATAAGGTGCTGTATCAAATGCCAGGATTATTATTATTATTATGCCTTTCAGATGGCGCTGTTGCATTCCTGGAGAAACTTGGTGCAGAGTTGGGGCTGCCCTGTAAGAAGGTGGAGGTGAGAGATGTTTCCTTTGCAGTTGCACAATCCTGACTGCCTGATTTCGGAATAAAAATAGGGAGGAGGGTCAGGGGGGAAGCAGGGAGATAGAAAGCACGGTCGAAGAGGACGGTCTTGAGGTGAGTCTTGAAGGTGGCGAGGGAGGGGGGCGAGGCGGAGGGACTGCGAGACTTTTTAAAGATAATTTAAAGATCACAGAATAATGGAAACGTAGCTTCTTGGGTTGAGAACTAGATGAGGAATTGGAATATCAATGGAAAAGCTATGTCTGGGATGAGAGGGGAGAAATGACTTCTGTTCTACATCCCATAGTAAGTGTTAGACTATTGATAAAAGACTTACTTTAATATTATCACAGTTTCTATTATCACATTAGTTTATTGTGGACGTGGGACAGACGACATTGAAAAAATCATCTGGGCTAAGGCCTGATTTTACCGCAAGTAAATATATGTAAGATAATACTAGTCCTTGCATTTGATACAGCGCCTTATCACGGCTTCACGGAATATATTGTAAAGTGTGGTGACTGTATATTCTGTGGGCGAAAGGCAACAGTGCAACCTTGCTCCAGATCTTAAGGACTTCGAGGATCAGCTGGGTAAACTGTTGAGGAAAATCGGTGCTTCTAAAGACGCTAAAAATCAGCAGACGGTTAGAATTGTACTTTCCAGGGCCATTGCAGTGCGCTCGTGCAGATCAGTCAATGGAAGGCATAAATAGTTCATTGGCTTTGTTGTGCAGGTTTATCCGGGCCGAGTGATCACGATACTTACCTGGGAAGGAACGGATCCACACCTGAGATCTCTTCTCCTCAACTCCCACACGGATGTGGTTCCGGTCTATGAGGTAGGCTTTCTTCCCGCAGCAGACAGGGGGAATTGTGCTACTATTTTGCCGTGAGTGGTTTGAGGAAAGGAGGAAGACTCATTGACATATTTGTGTGCCCAGGAACACTGGAAACATGATCCGTTTGCTGCAGTGAAAGACGAACTGGGTAATATCTATGGACGAGGCACCCAGGATATGAAGTGTGTCACCATTCAGTGAGTTTTACCAATGAGGGTTTGACAGTTCGGTGTGTGAGGCGACTACGTGGAGTGTGAAGGATTCCCTCTCTGCAGAAGGACCTCCTGCTTGAGGAGCGCTGCCTCCCCTCGAGTGTCCCCGGCCTCCCTTTTGCCCCTCGTGCCCTCCCTTCCACCATCGACGGCCGCGCTTTCAGCCACGACACCCCGTAGCTCTGTCGCTCTCTTCCTCTATCTCTCCGCCTTGCCTCGCCTCGCCTCGCCTCGCCTCGCCCCTTCCTTCCTTCCTTTTCTCCTTCCCTCCTTCTCTCCTTACCTCCTTCCCTCCCTCCCTCCCTATCTTCAGATCGAGACTGAAGACCTTCCTATTCGACCAGTGCCTATGGGCACCTCCCCACCTTCCCCCGGCTCAGGGTCCTGCTCCGCCACTGTCAAGCGCTCTGGGACGCTGCCCTGTGAAGAATTGTTCAGGAAGTGCTTGTTCTTGTTGTTCAGATATATCGAAGCCATTCGAAGATTGAAGACGGAGGGGAAACGCTTTCCTCGCACAATTCACCTGACATTTGTCCCAGGTACAAAGGGGGAGGGTGTGTGTGTGGGCAGGAGAATGGTGTCAATACTCTAACCGTTTTGTGTTGAGTTGTGCTGTTCAGTTAGAATCTCGCAGGGAATATTCTTGACACTTGCTATTCATACACCAGCAGTTACCCCAACGCACACTCTGTGAGGTCCCAAGCCTTGGCTCTTGCCAACCTGTGATCAAGTCCCTATCCAATTCCCTTTTGAAAGCTATTATCGAATCTGCTTCCACCAGCCTTTCAGGCAGTGCGTTCAGACTGTAACAATTCTCTGGGCTTAAAAAAAAATTCTCGTCTTCCCTCTGATTCTTTTGCCAATTATCTAAAAACATTGCTACTCAACTCTCTTCAGGTAGACTCCGCCATCTTAATACCTAGCCTCCCCTCACTCTCTTCCCCCTTTTTTTTTGTCGAGGTATATAATGTAGGAAGTAAAGATTCTTACCTGAATAAATTGGCCAGGTAACTGTAACTGATCTGTATTCTCTCCTCATGGCTGTGCTCAACATTTAGATGAAGAGGTTGGAGGTTTCAAAGGGATGAAGAAATTTGTGGAACTCAAGGAGTTTCAGGCATTGAATGTTGGCTTCGGGCTGGATGAAGGTGGGGAGCGAGTTCTTTTCTATCCACCTCATTTTTTACTTTTATTTCTAAGCCTTTGAGATGTATGTATGATTCTCTGACAAACATTGGGTAGCTGTCCCCCTGATCTCCACCCAATGTTCTAATGATATTGGGTCCTAGGTCATGTCAGCAAGTGCCCTCTTGTCTTGTTTTCCCTTCCTCCTTCTGGCAGAGAATTGCCACTTAACATTTACAGAGCATCTTTCATGTTGAGAGGGCATCCAAAGGTGTTTGTTTGACAGTCCTGGCTTGACACCCGAGCTAAGGGTGGGAAAGAGAAAGATGAACGAAGATGTGGTCTATGAGGAAGGTCTTGAGACGGTCCTTCAGAGAGGTTGAGATCGGGAACACACTGTGTGGGAATCACAGATACTTTACCAGGTTTGATCCAGGTCCGTGCTGACTTGATCTCGGTTGAAGACACTGATGTAGCTCTAATGCTACATTTGTCATTGACGTCGGGTTTCCTTGCCCACCAGAAAGGCAAAATCAACCCCGTTTTCCCCACTCCCGATCTCATGACTCGTGCTGGAAAGTCAGTCTGGTGAGGATGTCAGAAGATGACAAAATCACTCTTTGCCGTGATGCTCCCACAGTACAAGAATGACAGAAGAAATTGCCCCAAAACACTGTTGTTGGGTGTCTGAAATTGATTGACCCCAATGTACAACAACAACAACGATAACTTGCATTGATTTAGCGCCCCTCACGCAGAGTAGCAACCCAGAGCGTTTTATCTATACCATCTCTTGTCATTGAGGTGCGATGTGTCAGTATTTAATGGCAAAGTGTTGTGACTAATTTATTACAGGTCTTGCCAATCCTGGTGATGCCTTCACCGTGTTCTACGGTGAGAGGAATGTGTGGTGTAAGTATATAATACTAATCCTCGCATTTGATACAGCGCCTTATCGCGTCGTCGAGACCTGCCTCAAAGCGCTTCATAGGATACGCTGTAAAGCGAATCGACTTTGTATTGTATGGGCGAAACACGGCAGCCGATTGCGCACAGCAATGTCCCCACAAACAGTGACCACGTCTCGCAGGTTATATGTGGACACACATCTGAAACGTACCGCACAACATAGCCCCTGCGTTTACACACCTCTCAAAATACACCCACCCCTGTTCACATATCGCATACCAGATGGCTTCAGTGGGAGAAGAAGCAGCAATAGATCAGACACAATACAGCATTACATTTGTACAGCGCCTTTCACGTCAGGAGGACGTACCAAGGCACCGGGCAAGGGTCCAAATGGCTTCCTTCTGTGCTGTAAACTCTCTACAGTTCTAACTCCTCACCCCTTTGTGTGTTGTCAGGGATTTCGGTGAAATGTACCGGAAACCCAGGCCATGGATCACGATTCATAGAAAACACTGCAGCAGAAAAGCTGGTGAGGTGTACAACATTTCATACAAGAGTCCATTCAGAATGCTTGAAGACAAAAGGAATTAACTTTGTACAGAACATCAGGGAGCTGGGATTAACCTTGGTCGATGCACGAGTTTCCAGGCATCTGAGATTAATTTTGTACAATACACGAGAGAAACTTGTTCCAGGTTCCTGGGATTAACTCAGTTTTCCAAATCCTGGCAATTCCTTCAATGCGTTGTATGATGAAAACAGCTGTTAGTGTAAGAATCAGTCTTTGTTCCTCAGCAGGAGGAGGGAATCCATAGAGGAAAGGGAGTCTTGAACCAGGAGAACCACATACAAGGAAATGAGATTAAGTCCTGAATGTATCAGGAGGAGTGAGTTCTGGGCAGTGGAATTCACTCTTTCCTGGAGATACTTATAGTGAATATTAGCGCTGAGTAATGGTAAACTGCAGTTGGCATTCTTCAGGCAAAGCACATCCGAGAGAGTGGATCTGAATAGTGGAGGGAGATGTATACAATACAATCTCAACAGTAAAAGAGGCGCAGAGTTCCTGAAGATCACAGAGAGAAAGTTAACGTTACTGAGCCTTAGAGTCGAGGAAGATCTCACATTCAATCCTTGTTGCCTACTGAGGTACCTCAGCTTAAGAACATAAGAATTTGCTGGCGAAGGAAGACCAAGATCCATCTAGTTCGCCTTCTGCCATCTTGGCAGTCTCTTGACATGTTGTGTCTCAAACTAGACACTGTATCTTAGCTGGGATGGTTGTAACGAGAATAAATTACATTTGTATAGTGCCTTTCACTTGATACAGCGCCTTGTCAGGAGGACATCCCAAAGCGTTGGACGCCACATTCGGAGCTCTCTGTGAGTTGGGCTAAGAGGGGNAAAAAATCTACTAGCGTTACCTGTTCCAGATTACTTTCCAGGGGCCTATTCGGGAAAGAGCAGGGGACAGGTGATCTCGGTGTCGAATAGGGGGAACGCTCACTGTCTAGGTTTGCCCATCGCCATTTGGGTGAGATACTGGAGGGTTACTAGTGCTTATGAAACATAACTGACATGAAGAGGGAGAAAAAGAATGTACGTATACTGTGAAGAAGAGAGGATAGTGGAACCATGTGCTACTCCCTTCCCTGTATATAAACCCAGGTACACAGCTGGTCGGTGTAAATAATTGTTCCATTTCCTTTGTAATATTTCAGCGCAAGGTTATCAATTCTTTCCTGGATTTCAGAGAGAAAGAGAGAAAGAGGTAAGGACTCTTCACAAAGTCTCTTACCTTGCCCTTCATAAGAGGAAGCCTGACTCCTTCTACATCCCTTCCACATCTACACATGTCAATCCCATCACTGACTCTTATCACCTGTCCACCTCCCCTTAAGCTAACTTCAACATCGTCATATCCATTTCTCTACCTCACATGGTAGTCAACTAATAATAATAATAATAATCCTTGCATTTGATACAGCGCCTTACCACGTCATCGAGACGTCTCAAAGCGCTTCCCAGGATATACTGTCGGGTGTAGTGACTGTGTGTTTTGCGGGTGAAGGGCGGCAGCCAATTGCGCCCAGCGTTTAAAATACCCCCAAAAATTTGGTCACTCAATCCACGACTGTTTGTGGGACACTGCCGTGCGCAAATTGGCAGCTATTATCTTTGAAATGCTTTGATGTTACAGGCGCTAGATCAACCACGAATATTATTATAATTTATCCCAACTGTAATGATGGCTTTTTCTTGTGTTCTAGGCTGAACCAGAGTGAGTGTTTGGCATTGGGCGACGTCACCACTGTTAACATGACCATGTTAAACGGAGGTGTAGCCTATAATGTTGTTCCCAATGAGATGACAGCTGGCTTTGATATTCGAATCCCCCCGACTGTGGACTTGAAGGTATGGCTCAGTCTGATCTGCATTCTTATACCAAACTTAACAGCGCTTTTTAACCGTCTTTAGGAGGAGTCTGCGAGTTTTATTTTAGAAATTTGAACGGGCAGCCCGCTGTCTTAAAAAAGACAAATTTCAACCCTCTGCACAGTATTGAGCAGGTGACTGTTCGAATAAACTTATTGATAAAATGAAATTAAAAAATGATTTGGTCACTTCATTCCACGGCTGTTTGTGGGACGCTGCTGTGCGCAATTGGCTGCCGTGTTTGGTCCACAAAATATTCAGTCAATTCACACGACAGTATATTCTATGAAGCGCTTTGAGACGTCTCGAAGACGTGATAAGGCGCTGCATCAAATGCAAGGATTTTTAGAGTTTGGAGTTGATCATTGGATTGCATCTTTTATATTGATTAACTGTCCTTTCATTTCTATGCCTGTATCTTACTTCTTTGTTGAACTTGTAAGTAGACAATTGCCTTTCTTCCTCGGAGACTAATGTCACTGTATTATTACCCGTCACTTCTTGTTTTAGGTGTTCGAGGAACAGATCAGTACTTGGTGTCAGGAGGCTGGAGATGGTGTTGGCTACGAGTTCCATCAGGTAATGATCAGACTTTATGTAAGCTGCGCATTTAATTTTTCATTGAGGTTATCAGGCCTTGAGCGTATCAGAAGGGTTTATAACAATCAGGGACTGTTCCCTGATCTCATCTTAGAGTCCCGTAGGAATGAGGTTAAAGCACTCGCCTCGCAAGCGAGAGGACCTGGGTTTGATTCCCGGGCAGGGAGAAACCTTGGGCAAGTTTTATTGCTCCACACACACACACACACACACACACACGCCTCTGTTTACCAGCAGCACGTAAGAGCCCGGTTGGTAGTCGATTGGCAGATCGCTTTTCCGGGGGTAATAATCCCTTCAAAAAAATAATGATTTTGTCACTCAATCCACGGCTGTTTGTGGGACGCTGCTGTGCGCAATTGGCTGCCGTGTTTCTCCCACAAAATTCACTTTACCCTATCTTCTGTGAAGCGCTTTGAGAAGTCTCGACCACACGAAGGCACTACATTAAATGCAAGGATTATTATTATTGTTATTACGTTCTCATTTCATCTGCTGATAGAAAACCATGGATCAGCAAGTGACATCAATTGACAAGTCCAATCCCTGGTGGAATGCCTTCTACACCACTTGTCAGCAAATGTGAGTCATGACGGCTTCAAAGGATCTGGGTTTGAAACTGGGGTTAAGTCTCGAGTGTTGAGTGGTGACATTTGCCTGTGTAATATAACCTGTCCTCCTGGTCCCAATAGCTAAATTAGTGGAGCAGAGGGTGGCTCCTATGTGTAATTTGCATTTTTTTCCTTAAAATGAATGAAATCCAGCTTGAGTTTTCTAGACCAGTGGCTTATTCTCTTCGGCGGGGAGGTGAGTGAGGTGTTTTCGAGCTCAGCTGGCTCCTAGGTGTGATGGCCTTGGCAATGGAACGTCAATGCTCATGGGAACAAGGTTTTACTGAATTGTTTTTCCCCCCCCCCCCTCCATTTCAGGAATCTGAAGCTTCAGTGTGAGATCTTCCCTGCAGCTACAGACATCCGGTTCATTCGTGAGGTGTGTGTGTGTGTTTCCTCACGTGGTCATTTATCTGTTGGCAATTTTTTTTGTTGCCCACCTGCGGTCCCTTCGCCTCGCCCCCTCCCTCGTCCTTCAAGGCCCGTCTCAAGACCCTCTTCTTCGACCGCGCCTTCGGCCACCCTCCTACCCCCACCCTCCCTGCCCTCCACCCCCTCCTGATCCCGATCCCCAGCTCGGGTCCAAATCCCTGGCTGACCGGCGCCTTGAGACGTGTAAAAGTAAGTAAATGTAAATGTGAAGGCGCAGATGAAGAGGAGGGTCTTGAGGCAGGCCTTGAAGGAGTCGAGGGAGGGAGCGAGGCCAGGGGACTGTGGAATGGAGTTCCTTCCCTACGTGGCCGGTGTATGTATTGGCGATATAGCACGTCTACTCGTGTACTTTGGGGATGAGGTGTCAGTGTGTTTGGATGTGCGCTGTGAGTGTGTGCATGTGTTTAGCTTGTACACGGTGACCGAAAAGTCATGGTAACTACCCTATTATGTAAAAAAAAATCAATCATATAAACATAGAATCTTACAGCACAGAAGGAGGCCATTCGGCCCACTGTGCCACCCAATCAGTCCCACTCCCCCACTGATCAGACATTGTAACGGTATCGCAGCGTTTTGGTCACCCTGTATATGAGGACAGTCTCGATGGTGTTTGTTACCGGGTCTGTTCTCTGTTCCCAGATCGGCTGTCCTGCTATCGGTTTCTCCCCCATGAGCCACACTCCGATTCTACTGCACGACCACAATGAGTTCTTGAACGAAAAAGTGTTCCTGAAAGGAATTGACGTCTACACAGAACTAATCCCGGCCCTGGCAAGTGTCCCACCTTTGGAGGGTGAAGCCTGAGACGGAACAGCACACCCAGACACCAACCCCCAGTGATTCGTTTTAAACAATAAATATTACTGGTGCTGTTTTCGGTGATATTCGCCTGATAAATTTTACCGATTAAGTGTGTCATTCAGGCTTCGATATAAAAAGTGATTTGCTTTTTGTATAATTAATTCATTTATTAATTGTTGGGGCAGAACTTGCGTTCTGTTTCCCATCCTAGACTTTTATTCAGGAGTTGGGGGGGTGGCTTTTTAAACCCTTGTGTTCTTCTACAACGCAGCCCTGGAATCAGACTCCATAATAGTGATCTGCCATCAAATTGTGTTCAAAATTATGAGGGGTTTTGATAGAGTAGATTGGGGAGAAACTGTTTCCACTGGCGGGCGGGTGGGTCAGTAATCTGAGGACAGAGATTTAAGATAATTGGCAAAAGACCCAGAGGGGAGGCAAGGAGAACTTTTTTTTTTACCCAGAAAGTTGTTAAGGTCTGGAACGCACTGCCTGAAAGGCTGGTGGAAGCAGATTCGATAATAGCTTTCAAAAAGGAATTAGATACGTACTTAAAAAGGAAGAATTTGCATGGCTATGGGGTAAGAGCGGGGGAGTGGGGACTAGTTAGGGTAAGAGCGGGGGAGTGGGACTAGTTGGGGTAAGAGTGGGGGACTGGGACTAGTTGGGGTAAGAGGGGGAGTGGGGACTAGTTAGGGTAAGAGCGGGGGAGTGGGACTAGTTGGGGTAAGAGTGGGGGAGTGGGGACTAGTTGGGGTAAGAGGGGGAGTGGGGACTAGTTAGGGTAAGAGCGGGGGAGTGGGACTAGTTGGGGTAAGAGTGGGGGAGTGGGACTAGTTGGGGTAAGAGTGGGGGAGTGGGGCTAGTTGGTAGCTCTTTCATAGCACAGGCCCGATGGGCCGAATGGCCTCCTTCTACACTGTGAAATTCTATGATGTGACCTGGGTGTTCCGAGAGCCTGTTGGAAGTTGCACTTCAATCTGAATTCACCTCTGAAATTGTACCTCCATCGATTACAGTAAAGCAACAAATGGTACGGTGCGATTAGATTGCCCGGCCTCCCAGCAGGGTGGGGTGGGGTGGGGGGGGGAGGTGGGGAGAATGGGATAGATTGTGGTTTGAAATCTAGATTGTATTCTTGCCAAATAAAAACCTTAATGAAGAATTTCCTCAAACCGTAGGGTGTGGAATCAAAGATCGACCCGAGCTGCCTTTTGTGTTCTTTCGCCTGTTTCAGAATGTTTGCTGCTTTGTTTCCTGCCACGAAAGCAGTGGGATTTTTAAGTGAGAATCGTCCTCGCATTTAATAATCCTTTTGCATTTGATATACCGCCTGATCCCGTCTTCGAGACGTCTCAAACGCTTCCCAGAATGTACTGTAAAGTGAATTGACTGTAAATGTTGTGGGTGAAACGCAGTAGTCAATTGCGCACAGCGCCGTCCCACAAAGAGTCGTGGATTGAGTAACCAAACTATTTAAAACATTTTTAAGGGATTTTTTTACCCTCCAATCAACTAACACCCAGATTCCTACTCTCTGCTGGTGAACAGAGGCGTGGGTGTGTGTGTGTGTGTGTGTGTGTGTGTGTGTTTGTGTGTGGAGTAAGGAAACTTGCCTAAGGTTTCGCCCCTGTCCGGGAACCGAACCCAGTTCCTCTCGCTTGCGAGTCGAGAGCTCTTAACTACTGAGCTACAGGACTACACTACTTGCAAAAGTTAACAGCTTATGTGTTAAAACCCGAGTTGGTAATGCAAAGCTTTTTTTTTCCCTGAACAAAAAAAAACATATCGGCTGAAAAAAAACGAATTCAGTGGTGAAGGATTTGATCGAATTTACTATAAATCTATTGTGCTTCAAAAATGACCTAAAAGTTGAACATAGGCTCTTAAGGGAGACACCAAGAGAGTGGTTCAATCTGTCTACAAGACCCAGAGGGGATTCATAGCTGCAAACACGAACATGTTTTGTGACCTTTATTTAAAAGTACACGGCACCCGCATCAGTTCCAGATGAATTTTTGTCACAAAAATATGAAATGCGATGGAAGTTTAAAGTCCTGGTCAATGTTGTTGAAACAATCCAATCCAATTCTAATCTCAAACTCTCTCTCCCACCCCCCAACACCCCCACTCCCCCCCCACCCCAGGCCTCCCTCTATCTGCTGTTGCAGACTGTAAACTATGAGAGGTTCCGAGTTGAATCCTTAGCTCTCTAACGTCACGTCGAAGAAACTGTTCGTATTGACCACTCGCTCACACCGTAGCGCAGACGCCAGCGCTATTAATGTAATCTTGCACACAATGGAAATCGTTGAGATTATGTGGGGGCCTCGAGCTCAGTGTTTCGCCCACGAAATACGCAAGTCAATTCGCCTTACGGCGTAGCCCGTGAAGCACTTTGAGGCGTCTGGAAGACGCGATGAGGCGCCGGATCAAAGGCCAGGATTGTCATTAATATTTCCATTCCTGGAAAGCGAAGTAAAACTCCGTTCAAAGGAAGAAAAAAAAAACTGCTCAGATGCCAACGCAATACAAAGCCATTGTGGAGTCCTGTAGCTCAGTGGTTAGAGCACTCGCTTTGCAAGTGAGAGACCTGAGTTCAATTCCAGGCAGAGGGCGAAACCTTGGGCAAGTTTCCTTACCCCACACAGAGCCTAATAATAGTCCCTCCAACACCAAAAACAATAATAAATTGGTCATTTTCAATCTACGACTGTTTGTGGGACATTGCTGTGCGCAATTGGCTGCCGCGTTCGCCCACAAATATACAGTCAATTCACTTTACAGTGTGTTCTGTGAAGCGCTTTGGGACGTCCTCCCGACGTGAAAAGCGCTATATCAAATGCAAGGATTATTATTATTATTATTATCGTTACCGAATGCCTGCGTTCGCCCACGCGCACGGTAAACGGAGACACCCTCACTGTGTCGCCACCAGGAGAGAAAGGCCGATTCTAACGGTTTCTCGAACAAACCCTATGTTTGTGCGTCCACTCCTGCGAATATTGCCGCAGTTGTGTTTTAACGCAGTGTGACAAAAGGACAAGCAGGGGTATTGGTTATCTGAGCTGGATCAAGCGCCCTGGGACTCTACCTTGCGTGAGAGACGTTATACGAACGCAAGTTGTTTTTGTTGGATTACGAGTAGTAATATTTCAAGTCGCCCCCGAAAGACGGAGATGGCAATTGCCCCACGCAGGAGCTTTCTCGAGCTCCAGATCAGCCCAAGCTGGGTCTCCACAACTTTATTCTCACCAGTAGATGGAGCTTTTATGTTATTTATGTGGAGAAAAATAACTAACTGGGACATTCCCTGAGCCTCTCCATTTCTGTCACTCTTTCTCATTCGCTCGTGTCTTCTCGATGTGACAGAGTGGTTTTAAATTGTTTTATGCTGAAAATTACATTTGAAGTAAAAGAAAATAACCAAGTAATTCAGTGCAGCAGCTAGAACCATCTGCCTAGGGCACCAACCAACTGTGCAATAATAATAATAATCCTGGCATTTGATACAGCGCCTTATCACGTCGTTCAGACGTCTCAAAGCACTTCACTGTAATGTGAATTAACTGTATATTTTGTGGGCGAAATGCAGCAGCCGATTGCCAAGTCCCACGAACAGTCATGGATTGAGTGACCAAATTATTATTATTATTATCTTTTTGGAAGGGATTATTGTCCCCTGAAAAGCGATGCGCGAATCGACGAACGATCGGGTTCCTACTTACTGCTCGGTTAAAAACAGAGGCGCGCGCGCGTGCGTGTGTGTGTGTGTGGGTTAAGGAAACTTGCCTAACGTTTCACGCTGCCTCGGGAATCAAACCCGGGTCCTCTGGCTCGCCAGGCGAGTGCTCTAACCGCTGAGCTACAGGACTCCACAGTAATGGGTTGGGACAGGGGTGCGATTGGTACTGAATTCCCCAGGACACCAGCCGGTGTCGGTGACACTTGCACTCTCTGTTTAATAACAGACCACTTTAGGACAATGTGTGATGATGCTCCTCGTTTTGTGTGCTTTCACCTCCTTTAACCTCCTGTGAATGGCGTTGGGTCCCCTCTCTACGCTGCACTGATAAACAGCCTCTCCCCGAGGTTACCTCAGGACCTTGTTGGACCCTCTGTGACCCGCCAATAATAGAATGAAAAATGGCTATCAAAAGCTCAAATCACAAGGTCACCACATCATCAGCCCTGGGATTTCTGAGACTAAAGTGGTTTGATGTAGAGGTTATCCTGCGCTAACAGGGTATGGCCTGATGGCAGATAATTTCCGAGAGCTGTGAGAGGAATAGTAAAACGTTTCATCACTGCTGGTGTCTGCCCGCAGGTACCAGGCTGCTCGTGAGATTGCAGACAAAGGCAAATTGTTTCTTCTAGTCGGCGGATTATAAATCAAGACAATGTTCCACAATTCGCTTCCAAAATCCTGCAGCTTTAGTGGTTAGAGAGCTCGCCTCGCAAGCGAGAGGGCCTGGGTTCGATTCCCCCGAACAGGGCGAAATCTTAGGCAAGTTTCCTTACTCCACCCACACGCACCTCTGTTTACCAGCAGTAAGTAGGAAGCCGGTTGTTATTCGATTGGTGGATCGCTCTTCTGGGGCTAAGAATCCCTTTTAAAAAATTATTTGATCACTCAATCCGCGCGACTGTTTGCGGGACACTGCTGTGCGCAATTGGCTGCCACAAAACATACAGTTAATTCACTTTGCAGTATATTCTGTGAAGCGTTTTAAGACGTCTCAAAGACGTGATAAGGCACTATATCAAATGTAAGGAAGGATTATTATTATTTATTACTATTTAAAGGATTTGGTGGCAAAGCTACTGGAACGCTATCCTCAGCAATACAAATCTGGGTGTAATGTACTGGAACAAAGACAAGTATCTGAAAATACATTTTCCTGCCTTCAGCTTTTTTTTATTAAAAAATAAATAATTATTAGGCAATTAGATTATTACTCAGTTCCTCAGCCCAAGATTGGAAACCCCTCCGGGAAGATGATTCTCGTGCTCCTTCTCGTGCTCCTCAATATGACACCAAAATGGCTTTATTATTGTATCTCTAGTACGGAATCACGGTGCACAGAGAGAGAATAATAATAATGATGATCCTTGCATTTGATATAGCATCTTATCACGTCTTCAAGACGTCTCAAAGCGCTTCACGGAATATACTGTAAAGTGAATTGACTGTATATTTTGGGGGTGCAACGTGGCAGCCAATTGCCCACAGCAGCGTCCCCACAAACAGTCGTGGATTGAGTGGCCAAATAATGATTAAAATTTTTTTTTGAGGGATTATTACCCCCGGAAAAGCGATCCGCCAATCGGCTAAACAACCGGGTGCCAACTC